ATCGGTTTAGCGGTTTTTGAGTTATCGTGTTACAGACGGACAGACAGACGGACAGACGGACAGACAGACAGACAGACACCATGAAAATATTTTGTATTTAGGTCATTTATGATCCAAATAACTCATTTTGAGTAAAATTAAAAAAAACTTTTTTTTGCCGATCGTAATAGCACAAACACACAATAAACATCACAAACCTTTATTACATAGGTAATAGAAAGATGTAATAAAACCATTTATACTAAATGTTTACGCTCATAGTAATACGTAGTTCTAAAACTAACATTGCCAAGGCCTTCATACATATAACAGCGGATATATCCAAATGTAAAAAGTTCTAATGTGTCCTTTGTGCTCCAACTATTTCCTATTTATTTCCAAGCAGGCAGTTTGGTTTGGCTTCTCGGAACAACAACCACCGTTTCCTTTGAAGTTCGCTGCTCGGCACTTTTCAAATTAAATCGAGCGAAACAACAGGCGCGCACGATTTAAATCGTAGTAGCTATTTCTGGGTCGAACCCGGCCGCGTTAAAAAATACCGCTCTAACGATTTCAAGTGGTAAGTATATGTGAATTTTACTTTTAAGTAGATAATGAGGCCTAAAATGTTTGTTGTTCAATAGTAGTTAAAAAGGATTATTCGTTTGGCAAACGAAAAATTATTGAAACAATATTTATTTGCCAGGGCTAAAACAAGGCCCATTCATTAATAAATGGATATGCATTGAATAAAAAAAGACTAAGGAGGGAGTATATGAACAAAATCGGGGATGCGCAACCATAGAAAAACAAATTCTACGCGACCACGCCCAAAAATTAGTCTTCTTGAGTTATCAAATCGTTAATCTCGGGCTCCAAAATAAAAGAATCATATGCTACTAAAAAAAATTGTGTATGCACTATGTGCGCATATCTGAAGTGAAACTTCTTACCAACAGCTATTAAATTGAAGGATTTCTTCTGATGAAGCTTCAATACGTGTTTATTACATGTTGCAAATGTAATAAATTAAAAAAGTTGTATAAGTATTATACAGGGTTGTTCACCACATACGACGCGGAGTATTGTAGCTAACCTCTTAGATTTTTGCAAATTGTAAGTTTTGGGTTCGTTGAAGGACTATTAGAGCTACAATTTAAAAATATTTTCACAAGATACAGAGTGGCCCAAATAAATAAAAAATATCAAAGTTGTATTTTTTTAAATGGAACACCCTGTATATTATTACATTTTTAGTTTCTACGATTAAAATAGAGGTAAATTTGATTAAGGTTTACCGCATTTTAATCTTACTGTTTTTGAAATATTTAGGTTTTTGTCAAAATACAGTAATAATTTTAATGCTTTATTTCTCCAAACGTATTTAAGTTTATAAAACCAAATATTGTACTGAAGTATTTCTATTTACTAAATTTTGTGTTACAATAATAAAAATTATACTACCTTATACAGAGTGTCTAAAAATTTATTTTAAATAATAACTAGCTATAAACGGCATTAACTTCTTTAATTTAAATGGAACACCCTTTATATTTTATGATAATTAGATGCACAAGTTAATTGTCTATTAAATTGTATTATATCATTTTTTACCTATGTCTTTAGGTTTTCGTAGAAAATGCATTTTCTTATAATTTAAACCTCAATTATCAATATACCAATGGAATATTGACATTTCTGATTCATTTTAAAGATGTAACAAATTTTTAAAGGGTACAGATACTGATATTGTCGATATAGTTCATTTATGTCATTAAAAAATAAAAAAAATTGTTTAAATGTTTGTAAAGGAGGACCAATTAATATGATTCCAGTATTCAAACTTCATTAATTGACTGTTTGCGTTGATTAATAATAATTGCTCCAAATACTAAAAAACTTTTATTTTTGTATGTGTTTTAGACAGTGTGGTAAAAAGTAAAACCACAGACTAACCTAAAATTTAGTTAGTGGTAACACCTTAAACATTTTATTTCATTTTTTGCCGGATGCTTATTTATAACAACAGAGACGTCCATTTTCATAACTTAGTATTATATTGATTTCTGATTCCAAATCCACATTTATTTAGAACAATTTATTAACTAACACAATTAAATATGTAATTAATTAATATTTGGGCGGAAATAATGGTGGTATATTTAATTAATGGTATACTCTTTTATAAAGATTTAAATAGTTTTATTTTTGTATACAAATAGGCTGGTAATATTATTGTTTTTAGCACCTGTACATTTATTGCTTTAAAAACAATCTAAACTGTCAATATTCCATGGGTATATTCATAAACGAGGTCTAAATTATAAGAAAATGCATTTTCTACGAAAACTTGAAGGGATAGGTAAAAGTGGTATAATACAATTTGATGGACAATTAAATTGTGCATCTGATTCTCCTAAAATATACAGGGTGTTTCATTTAAATTAAACAAGTGATTGCCGTTTAAAGCTAGAAATTATTTAAAATAAATTTTTAGACACTCTGTATGAGGTAGTATTATTTTCATTATTGTAACACAATAACTGATCAATTATTAAACTTCAGTAAATATTTAGTATTATATTATATATACTTTGATATCCTTGGAGAAATGAAGCCTTAAAATTTTTACTGCAATTTCACAAAATTGAAAATGTCTCAAAAACGGTACGGTTTAAGGGTGATATACCTTAATCAAATTTAGCTTTATTTTAATCATAGAAACTAAAAATGTAATAATATACAGGATATTCCATTTAAAAATATACAACTTTGATATTTTTTATTTATTTGGAACACTCTGTAGCTCTAATAGTCCTTCAACGAACCCAAAACTTACAATTTGTAAAAATCTAATCGTTTAGCTACAGTACTCCGTGTCGTATGTGGTGAACAACCCTATATATGTATGTATTTGTATTATAATATTGTATGAAGTTAAATGTTGCAAAAGTAATAAATTAAAAAAATATTTTTAACTATATATATATATATATTTTTTTTACTTGTAACAAATAGTTTTTTACCCGTAAAGAATAGTTTTTTGCGTTAACAAATAGTTTTATACGAAACTAGTTTATTGAAATTAGAGGAACAAACTTCTACGTTAATTGAAATCGTTAATTTCAGGGTTCTAAATAAAGCTTTAATTTCAAATTGAAATTTTTATTTAGGGACCGTCTATCAGAATGTTAGTTAAAAATATTGAATAATTATTTATTGTCTCTTCCCACGACGAAAGGAAATATACACTCTCAAAACTTTTATATGTTTTTGCTAGTTACGCTAATTTGTTTACCAGTAAAGGACACTGAGAAGTTGGTTTCTATTTTTTTTACAAAAATCCCTATCCGCATTTTTGAAATACACACTTTTAACTTCATAAAAGTGTAGACATACTTCATCTCAGTTAGATACCTAATGAGATAAAATAAAAAGGTTTTTAAAGTGTCTATGATATTAATAATTTTTCAATATTAATTAGGAATATTTTGAAAGTTTTGTAGGGTTGACGGACATTTTAATTGAAAACCCTTAACGTATACTGTTAGTTTCGAATTACTGTTGGAATATTAAATTAATTTTATGCACAATATTTTATAAACACGTTTACACAATTTATGAAATATTTTAAATTTTACCTAAAAATAAAAGTTAGCCAGCGAAAAATAATTTAATAAAATTTAGCGTGACAGAATTTTTTAATTATTAATTTTTGTTGCATTCTTCTTTTGGCCTAGTTTAAGTAGAAAATGGCTTTATCGAGCAAAATTTTACAATATTTTGTTGAAAACCGTACATTCTAAAAAATAAATTATTTTCAAAATATCAAAAGAAGTGGGTATATACTTTTGTATACTTGAATACATTAAATAAGTGTATAGAAACAATTCACAACGCACTTTGAATGTGAGAATTGTTGAGGCGCAAATGTTTACAGGAAATAATAATTATTTTTGTTATTCTACATTGCAAACCTATTGCTGTCCTCTTCTCTTAATTAATCTCTCGTAGACAATATTACTTTGTTATCGTCTTGAGTTAAGTGTTCGTTTTATATTATAAATTGAGCTTTGCATTTAAAGTGTTATGTAACAGTGAGACAAACATGAATAAACATTTTTTATTTTATCATTTATACCGTATGATCGAAAAAAAAACGTCGTCAAAGACGGCTGGGGAATGACATCGATAATAATTTTGGCGAGGTCAGTCTCTAACCAAAATTGTCACTCTAAATTTTACATAACCAAATTGTCACTCTAAATCGCTGTCTTTTTTAGACAGATGTCACTTGTCTTGCCATTATACAATTCATTATTGGAATTTTTAAATTTTGGGAAAAGGAAAGTTTCATCTTAAAATAAAATTTTAATCAATCACAATTGTTTATCCCCATCATTTACCGGATTAATAATACAGAAATTACAGTTTAGTTACAAACAATTCATTATTTATAATGATTTACAGTCATTTTATTAAAGTATACGAATATTCTCGTTGATTATTGATTTGAAATAAATATGACTGTGTCCTCCAATGAAAATGCGAATTACTAACTCTAAATTCTAATTCTGAGCTGGCAAATGAGCTAGATGCTTTACCTAGACCGTTAAAAACTCTCGACATTTGCTCGTTCATTCTCGAGGAACGGTACCCAAACATAAATTCTCGAACATTATAGAAGAAACTTACCGATGTCTCGTAATAGTCGAGGCCGAGCTCCCTGGCGACGGCCCTCGCCTCGTCCGGCATGACCAGGTCGCTCTTGCGCGTCGCCCTGACGAACGGACTCCTATCCCGGAAGTGGGACAGGTACGCCTCGTCCCTGTACATGTAGCGCAGGTCGTTCTTGCAGCCGACGAGCAGCACGGGCGTGCTGGGACAGAAGCGCCGTATCTCGGGGAACCACATGAGGCGGCAGTGGCGCAGCGAGACGGGATTGTTGACGCTGAAACAGAGCAGCACGACGTCGGAGCGGCCGTAGGCGAAGCGGCGGTCCTTCTCGTGGTCGCCGAACGTGTCCCACAGCCGCAGGCTGACGCTAACACCGTCCACCACCTCCCAGGAACGTTCCAGGACATCCTTGTAGATGCGGTACTGGTCGATGGCCCACACGGTGGGCACGTGCGTGGCCAGCAGTTGTGCGAGCGACACCTACAAGAAAAGAATTGTACCAAATTAGAAACAAAATCATAATATACTGACTGCACACCGACAATACATCGACTAAGCAATAATTTCTTGAACCTGCAGCAAGCTATAGTAATAATGTCAGTTTTACCATAGTTAGTTTATCTCTTTTTTATGAAGAAACCAGTATATGGGAACCGACTAGTACATATATTAGTATATACAGGGTGGCCCATCGAAAACGTTCCGCAAGGCATAACGGCAAATTTTTTTAGAAAATTCAAAAACACGTCAATTTTGTTTGTGAGGGGGACAAGTTTTGCCCCAAAAATGATTGCAAAATCTTCATCTCTCTAAGTCGAGGTGTCACCCCCCAATTTTTTTCAAATGGGAAGGGGGGTCAAGTGGTACCGCAAGGAAAAAAGCTTTCTATTCTCTATACTTTCCGGCTTCGTTTTTGAAAATCGGTCGAGTCATTGAGAAAATATGAAGGATTGAAATTTGAAAAGTTTGTTTAAACATTTATCAGAGTAAATGATAAGGATAAACTCCTTCGACCAATTTGCTGTTTTTTTCTTATTATTTCTATGTTATTACGCATTTTATCACTTGCCACAATGCGTTGAAGTTCTTCTCAATATCGTTAAACTTTTTAACAATTATGGTGTACTCACTTGCAGAAAAAGTATAAATAATCGAACTTTATTTTAAAAATAATGAATGTGGCAATCGGGTTGCGCAGATATGCAATGAACGCCATCCTGACGAACACCATTATGACAAAATTGTTCGCGAGTTAGTAGCAAAATTTCGTGAAACTAGTTCCGTTATGAATAAAAAGAGGCAGAGGGAAAATCCTGTAGTAAATGAAGCTATGGAGGTATTCTTATTGGGCCAAGTTGCCATGGACAGTACGCTGAGTACAAGAAACTTAGCCAATGAGACCGGCGTGAATCGTACAAGTGTCCAAAGGATATTAAAAAAACACAAGTTCCACCCGTACAAAATTCAGTTGGTACAAGAACTCAACGAAGACGATTTTGATCGTCGCGTCGCCTGCAATTTTGTGAAACTATGAGTGAACGACTGGCGAATGATAATAATTTTAGGGTTTTTCACGAGGTGCACACACAAAACACTCAGAAATTGGACGTGTGGACTGGTATTTTTGGAAATTCTATTGTGGGTCAGTTTAACAATATTGAGAAGAACTTCAACGCACAAGTCACAGAACAGCTATCTAGCAACTACCGCACCTGATCGTTCAACCTTCTGGCAAGTGAAAAAATGCGTGAATGTCTAGAAATAATAAGAAAAAACCTCAAATTGGTCCAAAGAATTTATATTTATCATTTACTCTGAAAAATGTTTAAATAAACTTTTCAAATTTCAATCCTTCATATTTTCTCAATGACTAGACCGATTTTCAAAAACGAGGCGGAGAAATATAGAGAATAGAAAGCTCTTTTCATTGCGGCGCCACTTGACCCCCCTTCCCATTTGAAACAAGTTGGGGGATGACACCCCCGCTTAGAGGGTTGAAGATTATGCAATGATTTTTGGGGCAAAAGTTGCCCCCCTCACAAACAAAATTGACGTGTTTTTGAATTTTTTGAAAAAAAGAATACCCTAGCCGATATGCCTTGCGGAACGTTTTCGATGGGCCACCCTGTATATAATGTGTCTTCATTTAATAAAAAAACTGTGTATGCACTATGTGCGCATATTTGAAGTGAATCTTCTTACTAACAGCTATTAAATTGAAGGATTTGAAGGATATATATATTTTTATGAATGCCTTTTATAATCTTCAAAAAAATTAGAGTTAATATAAAACCGTTTACTATTCTAGCTTTATAACTTTATGTTTTTTAATTTTTATTAAAAAACGATAATTCAATCACTCGGCCGGATAGTCTGGCAGCTGTGACCGTTAAACCAAAATACTACTACATCTATATCCCTGACTACAACTAACTGCTATTAAACAACAATTTGTTTTCTGTGGTCTGTTTTTGTTTAATTATTTTGTTCATTATTCATGTTGGGAATTTATTTTTAAATTAATGTTAATCGTTAGTCGAACTCCTAGAATATGTATTTCTTTTACATAATCAAAATTGTCACTCTAAATTTTACATAACCAAATTGTCACTCTAAATCGCTGTCTTTTTTTAGACAAATGTCACTTGTCTTATCATTATCCACTTCATTATTCGAATCTTGGACAAGGAAAGAGAGGGGACGGGTAACTCGCATATTCTCCCGTGATCGGTTTGTGAGGCGGCGCGCGGCGGCCATACTTCGGTGACAAGATTTCGAGGTGACACCGAGCGAATTTTTATGTTTTTTTGTGACAACTGTTTTGTTTAAAATTTATAAACTGTGTTGTTCAGTATGGTGAGATGTTCAGCGTATGGCTGCAAAGGCCGAAGCGAGAAAAAAGTGTCTCGAATTACATTTCACAGGTAAAAATCGATACACAACTTTTGCTATGTGGTCATAAAATGTACATTTTTTCATTATAGCAGTAAAAATATGTAAAATGCTTTTAATATGTCTTGTACCACATCCAAACCAAACTATTTTTAATAATTCCAAGTAGTATTTTCAATATCTTGTATTATAATTAATGTTTGAAACTATAAATAATGCTACTCAGCTTGGATTTCTCCAGTGGCGTAGGGAATTATAATCAGAGAAATACAATTTCTGCAATAAACATTTTTTTATATATTTTACCTGTAAATTTATTTTTATTTTTTTTTGCAGTTAATTTCTGCAATAAACATTTTTTTATATATTTTACATGTAAAAAAATGAAAAATTCTAGTGATAAAAAACCTATATGTATAGTTGTTATATAAAACTTAAATTACCATAATGCCAAACTGTAGTTGTTATATAAAACCTGCCAAGATTTGCTGGGGGTGGACAAACTTGTGGTGGGCTACTTGTTACTACATACATATATATTTTTAAATATTCTTTCAAAAAATTTGCTAATTTAAGTGAATAATAATAGTTTCAGTGAGTAATTAATAAAAAAAAATAAATAAAATAACACAAAGCTTCTAGAATTGTTTTATTTTTTTGTATACTCTTATGATAGTAACAAATATTAAAAATTACATTATTCATTGAATCCGTACGCAAGTGTGAAGGGGAATGGCTATATTCATTATTATACCGTATGGTCGAAAAAAAAACGACGTCCAGTTGGCTTGTAAATGACGATCGACGACATTCCCCATATAATTTTACATATAAAATGACAGCGATCTTCATTTCATAACCATCGCTGACGCCGTCTTTTTTCGATGTCGTTTTGTATAGTTTTTATGTAATTTTATATAGAATTATATGGAGAATGTCATCGATCGTGATTTACAAGCCAACTGGACGTCGTTTTTTTTCTCGATTATACGGTATAATAATGAATCTAGCCAATTCCCTTCACACTTGCTTACGGATTCAATGAATAATGTAATTTTTAATATTCATTTGTGAAATTGTCATTTCCAAACAAACAAGACGCCGTTTTTATCGATCATACAGTATATATGTATATACACGTTTAAAACATATGTTATTACCCTATTTTTTTAAATTATACATTATACACACGTTAATAAATAAATAATTGTCTTGATAATCAGTCCACTGTGACTGTTAAATAAATTTTGCATTATCAACTTAGATATTCTAATATTATAAAGGTGAGACTATAAAATACAAAATTGTATATGCATTACTCAAAAATGAACGATATATTAGTTTACGTTTTAATAAATATTTTGTACCGTCTAGGTACAAGCTAATTTCTGATGCTACGCCATTGGAGAATTTCAGTGGTGACAACTTGCCTCACATTCAACTGCCGTGTTATCTGTCCCGTCTCTTTCCTTGTCTAAGATTCGAATTCTCAGAGTGTTGTTAACAAAAGTTGCATCTTTAAATAAAATTTTAATCAATCACAATTGTTTTTCTCCATCATTTACCGGATTAATAATAGAGAAATTACAGTTCAATTACAAACAATTCATTATTTATAGCGATTTACAGTAATTTTATTAAATTATACAAATATTCTCGTTGATTATTGGTTTAAAATAAATATGACAGTGTCCTCCAATGAAAATGCGAGTTACTAACTCTAAATTCTAATTCTGAGCTGGCAAATATAAACTAGATCGTTATTCAGAAGCTACAAACCTATCGATGAAAATATGCATGAAAATTTACTTCCTAGCGCACAAGGTTCGTACAATATTAAGTTTATTATAGTAATTTTCTTAGCCCCGTATGGCACAGATCGTTACCCCGTGTTGCCACAAGCTTATTTTTCATCGGGGTAGATTATCACGAGATAGCGGGGTTATATTGTTTTACAAACGGGTAGATCAACCCAGAATGGAGTAGCTGTGGCAACACTGCCGCTATCACTTTTTCTCCCGCTAGCTCGCGCGTCACGGCCTTGAATTTTTACACCCAACGCGCGTAAAGAAGTTTCACTTCAAAAATATTAATATGTATAATGTGGTAGATTGGCGTCCTTATGTTATATATGAAATGATGTTCGCTGGTTTAGGACCAGGAAATAAAAAAAACATTTATTTAAAAAATTGCCGATGTTTCGACGTGTATTTTCATCTTTAATCAAGGCTAATTTTCAGCTAAAAATCTTTGACGAGCCTGAAACCACCTAATTAAATTAGGCCGGCCGTACACGAGCGACATTTTGCAGTCATACCGAGCACAATACTGTGGTCGCGTCTCAGTGAACTTCAGCTCATCGTAGTAGTTACGGTATATGCTATACACGGGAGTCGAGTTGCAGTCGAAGTGGGCATCTGCAGTTCATTTGCGGTCGACCCCTTCAAGTGGTCGCGTTGATGTTCGCGCCGGTACAGCCGTACACGGACCACATCCTGGCTTTTGTAGCCAACTGCCATCGCAATTTCATAAAAATGTCCTTCTTGATGTTTAAAACTTAAAAGTGGGTGTATCCAAAGCGTTCGTATTCTTCTACGCTTTCTTCTTCTTCTTAAGAGAAATAACAGCAGTGCTTCGGCCTCAAAAGTCATTTTTAAATTATTGTATGGTGGGGCTACGATTCCATAACAGCAGTGGTTAAACCGACTGCAGGATGCAGTTGATGGGACTGCAAATCTACTTCAAGAATGTGGTGGAGATGTAGTCGAATGAACTACAGAAGTTGATTCGACTTGACAACAAATTGTGGTTGATTAAACTGCAAATATGTACATACATATACATACTGCCATTACCCGCTGACGAGTATTTGACACGCATCAGAAGATGGTCACGCAATGCGTTTTCTTTTGAGCTTTTTTGTGACTGAAAAGCCCGATATGTGATGTTATCGGTCTACCGCACTCCAGACATTCAAAAATCTCATTGCTTTGTTGCCTCTTTAGTTTTTGGTTGTCGCTGTTAACTGACTTTGCAATTTTTCTCCATTCCGTTCTATTGTGAGCTGCTTCTTCCCACTCATTCTGCTTGTTAATACCCTTTAAGTTTTCGTGGAAAATATCCTTGTACCTTTTGAGTTGTCCACCTGGCCTCCTTTTACCGTCTACAAGCTCACCGTAAAGCAGAGATTTTGGTATGCGGTTTTTTTGCATTCTGCATACGTGACCAGCCCATCTTAAGCGGGACTTTGTAATCATGACTCAATACTCTCGCAGTTAGCTTTTTCAGGGACCGATACGTTTGAGACATGATGATTGTCTAAAATGTCTCTGTTGCAACTTGTTTAATGCGTTCATGTGTCGGCGGTACGGCACCCAGATTTCGCTTCCATATAACATGGTGGGAATTATTACTGCTCGGTACACTGCAAGTTTCGTTATGTAAATATATGGTCCATGTACATCAAGCGTCGGCCCTTAGATAGTAATAATATAGAAAAATATTGTTTCCAAATGATTACTAAAATTTTTAGTAATGAAAATAAAGTATTAGCATTTTTGACATATCACGGTTTATAAAACCTTAATATAAAGCCACATAGATTATGATTAATATGTTCAAGGTCTTTGAAAAATTTGTTTGGCATTCAATCTGCGAAGCACTTAGAGTACATCAAAACTGTTTACTGAAGAAACAAGAATAAATGGATTTCAGCTCCCGAGGGGTGGACTATATTGCAAAAATAAAACATTGAAAACGTTCAAGAAACTACAAAAAATAGAGTACATGAAAAAATGTAAATAATTACAGTTTTCAAGTTGCTAGTGTCTTGCTCTTAGTGTCTTTTCCAAACTGTCTTGCCGACATATTTGTGCTTACATTGCTGTATGAAGAATATAGAATCCATCTTATATTATTTCCTACCTATAAAAAGTAAAAGCTATTCATAATTTTACTCCATTTCAATGTGCACTGGATGAGACGCTGTGCATAGATTTCCTTCTGGTGTTTAAAATGGGCCTCAATCCTCAATCTTCAATATTGTTGCTTTAAGTTCAATATAAGTTATTTTAAGTTAATCTTCTTCATAATATGGTGGACAAGCTGAAATTCTATTGTGTTATAAGTAGTGATGAGAAAAACCGATTAAATTTCAATAATCGAGTATTCGAGTTTCAAGCGATTTCAGTAATCGAGCGATCGCGAGCTTCAGCATTTGCCATAAAATAGGGAGCAATTGGTTAAAAAACCATATAAATTATATATCACTGTAATCACAAAACGTCAATCTATTTCCGTATGTAACGGAGTTTTAAATTATGTCTTTGTTTTCGAGAAAATTTAGTCTAAACATAAGGAATATTTTGTTGATGATTGACCATCAAAATCTTAAAAATAAAGAAATTGTCTAAAAATGTGCTACTATACGGATATAGTACAATTCTTTATCTTTAATTTCCTTCTTCATTTGTGTAAAAATACCTAGCCAGTTTTACATAAAACGTTAAATGCCGAACGGTTATTTCACTACTTTTTCGGACTAGTGAAATGGATATAACAACATTAATTACTCACCTATTTTGTTCTTGTTGCTGATTCCCCAGATGATGTGTTAATTTGGACAAATCGATGATCAACTTAGCCTCCCTTGTACCTGCCAAATCTCACAGTTCTTTGATACTTCCGGTATTGCTTCTTGATGATTGATAGGCAAATTGACCGATTCTATATTTGTTATATTCCTCGGTCCCTTACTACTAGACATTTTTATTTTTCACTACCTTAATCAAAAATCAAATAGTTATCGGTAGTAGGGCATTTTTTTAATAAACGAATCTGAAAAGTGTTAGACAATTTATTGTGTATTCCTGACCTCGTATTCCTTTCCCATAATTTCTCCTAGTCTACCACGGTTTCTGGTTGGCCTCTCAGGATCTCCCCTCCTTCGCATGACCCTAAAGTTCACCCGCCCTAGCTTATAGAATACCTTAAATTTGGTTTTCTCCAATGTTTTAAAAGAGCCCGCGTCAATGGAGAAAGCAAGAAGCTGTCCTTCCTGCTCTATTTTACGGCTTATTACAGCCCAGTCTCCTGTCTTGAGACCTGGATTGTGCGTCTCAAGACGAAGTTTTATGGAGTCGGTAGTCTCCTCTTCTGGCTCCCGAACGAAGCCAATGATTTTGTGTCTAAAGGGAAGGTCAGCGGGATTTGCTATCCTAATTTCGCCACCCTCCCAGAGTGGTTTGAACGTATCGATACTTTTTCTAAGCCACTCCTCGGTATCATTATTTGCAGAAGTCATCCACAGGTATCCTGCGCTAAATATAGTTCGCAGGAACTGTGGGAGACTACCACCGCTCAAAGTAGCAGAGTACATTAACTCTGTCAATGCATTTTTAACCTGCTCAGCTTGTTCTTGAGTTAGTTTTATATAGGGGTGACGTTTTGCTATAATAGCTAGGCGTTTCGCTTTTCCCGATTCGTCGCTAGACTTGGTAGAGTAGCGACTATTGCGGTATGGTGGATCATATTCCCGTTTGCTGCCGGCGTATGAAGGATACGGGGTATCTGATAATAGAGAGCCCCTAAATTCTTCATACTGCAGCCGTGCCTTCATTTTATATCTCATGATTCGAGCTCGCTTACCTCTAGGTTTATTTACTTCGGTGTAGGTTGTTGGGTACTCACTTTCTGGTCTTTGAAAACTAGCAATATCATCCCGTTCCTCAATCCCGTCTCTGAGTTGTGCTGAATCGCTTGCGTATTTGTCTACGTCGGGGTAGTTTGATAAATATTGAGAATTAAACAGAGCTTCTGTGTAACTCCTAACTTTCCCTCGTTCCTCACTCCCGTGCCTCATTGGCGGTGACTCACTTGGCCTCTGAAAATTCTCACTCTCATCCTGTTCGTCAACCCTGTCTCTCACTGGTTTTGGGCTACTGCTGTATTTGTTTACCTCTGTATCAGTCGGGTCTGGTAAGTCTAACAGAGGTCTTGTATAACTCTCATATTCATTCTCCCGTTCCTGACTTCCGTACCTGCTTGATGCTGTCTCATTTCTGGGGCTATGAAATCTGTTCTCGTCTTCCTCGACACCGTATCTCGTTTGTTCTGGCTCACTTCTGTATTGGTTCGCATCGGAGTAGTGAGCCGAGTGTCGAGAATCTGATCTCTTTTTATCCTCACGTCCCTGACTTCCGTACCTGCTTGATGCTGTCTCATTTCTGGGGCTCTGAAATCTGTTCTCCCCTTCCTCAATACCATACCTCGTTTGTTCTGACCCACTTCTGTATTGGTTTACATCGGAGTAGCGAGCTGAGTGTCGAGAATCTGGTCTCTTTTTATCTCGTTCATTCTCGTACCTAGTAGGCGATCTCTCATGTCTGGATTTTTTTGCATCGGTATAGCTTGTTGGGTATCGGGACTCTGATAGAGGCCTTTCATAACTTTCATACTGCTTTCGTTCGTCATTCCCGTACCTGCTTGACACTGTCTCATTCCTTGTCCTCTGAGATTTGTTATTCGGTCGTTCTTCAGTCCTGTATCTTGTTCGTTCTGACTCACTTCTGTATGGCTTTGCGTCCGGGTAGCGTGATGTGTATCGAGAATCTGATAGTGGTCTTTTATAACTTTCATATTTGTCTCGTTCTTCATGCCTGCACCTGGTTGATGGTGGGGATCGTGATCGGGAATTTGATAGAGGTCGTTTAAAACTCTGACTGCTTTCCCGTCTATCAAATGTATTGCTTCTTGGTTCCTCTTTAGCCCAATACCCCGCAGCCCTCTGTTTTTCCTTAAAGAGTTTTCTCCTTTGAGCGCCACTAAGCCTCTTAGGCCGGTAGTCGTCACCTTGTCTCCTGTCGGTAAGTCTCTCTCGGTAGTCCTCGTTGTCTGGAGAATACCGACGCCTTCGCCAATCTTGTCGGCCTTCGTTTCGTTCAAATTCCTCCATATCATCAATAGTTTCGTAGTTAAATAATTCATCTCTATCATTTTCAGTTTGGTATATATCCTCCTCTCTACTATATCTTCTTGTTCGGTTTTTAGTAAATTTATCCATATCGTTCCCACGAGCATGGGGGATATAAAAAGTCCACTCCTGCGGCGCCCCCTGCACAGGAGTAAGGCTAATTACTCTGAAAGGTCGCCTGGTATCTCAGAGGCTCCGTGAATGACGGTGCTCACCCACCGCCACGCACCCATCGGCACGGATCGCTTGACACCTTGGGTTGGCTTTTTGTTGCTCCTCTTCGTCTGGCTTCTCGCTTAAGACCTGTTCGACCAGGGTGGCCCTGCTGGTAGTTGTGATTATGCTACCGTCGACATAGCTCTCGAGGTCACAGATGCACGCAAACCCCACCGGTACGTTAAACCGGAAGCAACTTGGGGGGTAAGAGGGGATAACATAAAATGCATTCTTAGGTTTATTGAATAATGATCCAGTGGAAAGTTTGTGACTTTTAAAATAAAATAAATAATATAATTGTTTAAAGTTTCGTTATTGTGGCAACATGTCCTGATTGTCTTCCGTGTTAATTCTAGGTCATTGTCATGTAAACAGACAGATTTTATGATTATTATATTGATTTTCACCGATGATCCAAAAACGGTCCTAACTGTCAATAATAACTAAATGTCTACTGTCAATAATAACCAAATAGAAGTTATTGCGGAGTGTCAGGATTAAAGCCGGCATATCTATTTCTTATTTACAAACGAGAATTACATAAAAAGGTCTATCGAAAGCTTACCATGTTGGGAGTCTATAGGGGTGCTTATTTCTTATTATCGCTCTTCTTATGTATAACATTAAAGTTCACCCGCCCTAGCTTATAGAATACTCTAAACTGAGATGTCTCTAATGTTATAAAAGAGGCCTCGTCAATGGAGAAGACGAGGAGCTTCCCGTCAGCCTCTATTTTACAATTTAGTACACTCCAATCTCCAGTTTTGAGACCCGGATTCTGTATCTCAATACGACTTTTTATGGATTCCAGCGCTTCCTCTTGCCCTGGAACGAATCCTATGATTCTGTATCTAATTGGAAGTTCTCCAGAACATGCTATCCGAACGCCGCCTTCCTCCCAGAGTGGTTCCAAGGCATCGATACTCCTTCTAAGCCACTCTTCCGTTCTCTTATTAGCACAGGTCATCCATAGGTATCCTGCAGTAAAGGCAGTTCGTAAGAACTGTGGAGGTCTACTACTACTACTCGAAGGAGCGGAGTACAATAAATCCACTAATGTGTTTTGAACTAGGGCAGCTTGTTCCTGAGATAGTTTTATGTCAGGGTGACGTTTTTCTATAATGGCTAGACGTGTCGGGTTCGTCGCTTCAGGAGAAGAAGTAATCTGAGGTGGTGAATGACTTCTGGATTTATTTGCATCGGAGTTGCTTCTTAAATACCGAGAATATAATAAAGATCTTTTATAACTTTTATACTTATCCCGTTCCTCAATCCTGTACCTCATTGGCGGTGATTCACTTCTCTGTCTATGAAAACTCCCAATTTTCTCCTGTCCTTCAATCCCGTATCTCATTAGTGCAGGATTACTTCTGTACTTTTTCACGTCGGTGCTGTTTTTTAGATAAGGAGAAGCTAACAGTGGTTTTTTAAATGTCTCAGAATTATCCCATTCTTTAATAGTATACCTTGTGGGCGGTGATTCGCTTCTTTGCCTATGAAAACTCTCAATCTCCTCCGGTCCCTTGATCCCATATCTCAATGGCATTGAATTACTTCTGTATTTGTTGCTCTCGGTGCAGCTTATTGGACAAGGGGAATCCAATAGTGGTCTTTTAGGTCTCTTAAAATTATCTCGATCTTCAATCATGTGCCTCATTGGCGATGATACACTTCTTTGTCTACGAAAACTTTCAATCTCTCGTTCGTCAATCCGGTATCTCATTGGCGCTGGATTACTTTTGTATTTGTTCACGTCGGTGCAGTTTGTTGGATAAGGATATGCTAACAGTGGTCTTTTAAATGTCTCAGAATTATCCCGTTCTTCAATAATATACCTCATTGGCGGTGATTTGCTTCTTTGTCTATGAATACTGCCAATATCTCGTTCCTCAATCCGGTATCTCGTTGGCTCTGGATTATCTCTGTGTTTGTTTCCGTCGGTGCAGTTTTTTAGATAAGGGGTATCCAATAATGGTCTTTTAATTTTCTCAAAATTATCTCTCTCTTCAATCATGTACCTCAATGATGGTGATTCACTTCTTAGTCTAGAAATACTCTCAATCTCTCGTTCCTCAATCCGGTATCTCGTTGGCTCTGGATTCTCTCTGTGTTTATTTCCGTCGGTGCAGTTTTTTAGATAAGGGGTATCCAATAATGGTCCTTTAATTTTCTCAAAATTATCTCTCTCTTCAATCATGTACCTCAATGATGGTGATTCACTTCTTAGTCTAGAAATACTCTCAATCTCTCGTTCCTCAATCCGGTATCTCGTTGGCTCTGGATTATCTCTGTGTTTGTTTCCGTCGGTGCAGTTTCTTGGATAAGAGGAATCCAATATTGGTGTTTTAAATTTCTGAAAATTATCTCGATCTTCAATCATGTACCTCAACGGTGGTGATTCACTTCTTTGCCTATGAAAATTCTCAATTTCTCTTTCCTTAACCTGGTATCTCATTGGCACTGGATTACTTCTAAATTTCTTCCCGTCCATGCAGTTTGTTGGACAACGGGAATCCACTAGCGGTCTTTTTAATCTCTCATATTCATTCCGTTCTTCAATCTTAGACATCATTGATGGTGTATCACTTTTTGGTCTATGAAAACTCTCAGTCTCTTCGGGTCTCTCAATTCCGTATCTCACTGATTCTGAAGCACTTCTGTATTTTTGTCCCTCGGTGTATTTAGATGGGTATCGAAAATTTGAAAAGCTTTCATACTTCCTCTGTTTTTCAAATGTGGACTCAGTTTTCGCTCTCTTTACGTTGGTGTAATTTGTTACGAATTCAGACTCAGACAGACGTCTTTTAGAAACACTAATCTTTACCTGTCCCTCAATTGTATTATATTTTTTTTGATTTGGTTTCCCTGTGGTCCACGTACGCGCAGCTATCTTTCTTTCTTTAGCGCGTTTCCTCTTTTGAGCTCCAGAAAGTCTCTTGCGCTTAAACCCGTCACCCTCCTTATCAGTTATTCGATCAGCAACGCTTATTACGCTGGTTCCATTAATTGAATCTTTAGAAATTAAATTATCTGCCTGTACAGGTCGACTACTATTTAAATTTTCAGAATCACTGAAAAAATCTTCTCTGATGTTCGCAGTAGCCGAGTTTGAGCTTTGATTCAACTTCGCTCTACTATTTTTTATAATTTTGTTATGTGACTCCATATTATTATTTTTTTTAGTGTTGTTTAATTCCTGCTCTTCATTATCTTCTTTGGGTTGGTTTATTTCTTGAATTTGATATATATTTAATTCACCCTCCCTACTATCTCCTTTAGTTTCCTCTAAAATTAATTCATCTCTACTATCACCTTCAGATTCACAGGGAAGTAATATCTGCTCTCTGTCTTCCTTAGTTTGGTTTACGATTAACTCATCTCTACTATATGTTTGAATTTTACATATAATTAATTCATCCTCTTTACTATTTTCTTTAGTTTCATCTATAATTAGTTCATTTCTCATATCTTCCTCAGATTGGCATAGAGTTAATTCCTGCTCTCTATCTCCTTTAGTTTGGTTTACAATTAACTCATTTCTCCTATCACTTTGAATTCGGTATATAGTTAATTCCTTCTCATCACTACTTTTTATAATTTTGTTTATAGTTAATTCATCCATATCATTCCCACGAGAATGAGGGATATAAAGGGTCCATTCCTGCGGTGCCCCCTGCACAGGAATAAGGCTAATTACTCTGAAAGGTCGCCCGGTTTCTCAGAGGCTCCGTTAATGACGGTGCTTTCCCACCGCCATGCACCCATCGGCACGGATCGCTTGACACCTTGGGTTGGGTTGTTGTCGATCCTCTTCATCTGACTTCTCTCTTCCTTAAGACCGGTTCGACGAGGGTGACCCGATTGGTAGTTATGCTCGTCGACATAGCTCTTAAGTTCCCGGATGCACGCGCATCCCGCCGGTAAGATCAACCGTTTTAGGGGGTTGAAATTTGCGCCACAGGCTCATTGGATTATAAAAGGAAGTTTCTTGGTATGTTCTGAAAAACGTAGAATTTTAAATTAGGATTGAATAGATACCTCTAGATAAGTAACAAAATCACAAAAAAAACTATTTATAATTACAAATAGGGATCTTATTTTATTTTCTCTATTTATAGATGTATTTATACAAAATATAAATATATTTACGTACAAATAAATAAAAAAATCGATCAGTCACCTAATGTGGCCGATTTACGGGAGACATCCTCGAGTCATATCTTCACCACTTTTTCTAAATTATGGTGGTTGGTGGATTAGAAAATATGCGTCTCCCGGGGGAGGGTATACGAGGAGCCTAGATCTTGCGCTCCATTTGGTTTGCCCTCCCCCACTGAACAGAACAGATGGTTAAGTATGTTACCATCAGTGATGGGCGGTGGGTAAATACTAGAGCTAGTAAAACTGCGATTCTCCAATCGCAATTGAAACTGCGAATACGATTTTTAAATTGCTGCGACTGTAACCTGCGATTGCGATTTTAATATTTACCAAACCAAATTATTCGTAAAAAATGCTTTTTCTAAATATATTAATGAGCCACCCTCGTTCCATTTGAAAAAATTGAGATATGATAAAAAATACGATTTAGGCATCTTTTAACTGGCCAGGACAAGACGCGAAAAACAAGAGACAATCAAATCTATTTTTCCAAGGCATCTTGATTAAAATTAGTGTTTTTAACACAGCCATGACATTCTACATTGACATTTAAAATACGATTTTTTTAAACGAAAATGTCAAAAGTTGCCATATGATATACCATTCTATTTAGAGTGTTATTTTCTATCGAATAAATTTAATAAATACCGAGGGTGTAGATTTAAAAATCAAGTTTTTTTTCAAGGCAAAAAGACATTTCCGGTGAAACAGGAAGTCACTGACAACAATTGAATACGTCAATCAAACCTAATTTATGTCATATACCAACTTACCAAATCTCTCAATTTTTTATTTTTATGAGCGTAGCCCTAGAAATTTTTGACTTTTAGACATGATGTGCTCTAGGGAATATAATCAGGTGGTTTCCCATTGCCTGCCTGATGCTCACGCCGCACAGTGTTCAAATTTTGCAAAAAACCGATCGAAATTGAAAATTTTTAGTTTATTTGAGAATCGTCAAATTTATGTATATGTTTCTTTACGTCATTTTACAACTTTTAACCATGTTCATAGGAAAATAGACCAAAGCATGCTTCCTTTGTTGGACTACAGAGGAGGAGAAACATGAACTCAAAATTGATGAGCATAATGACAGTGAAGATAATGATGGGCGAGAACAATATGAGGATTCAGATGATTAGTTTTTATACTATTATAATTGATATATGACTGCTATAAACTATTTGCAATAGAACATGTCAAAAATTAATAAAAAAAAGTCGTTTAAATTGGCGCAATAGGATTTACAGTTTGCACGTAATCAATTTTGATCAAGTTTTCATCAATTTTGAACACTGTGCGCCGCGCCGTTGACTCTTTATTAAGTTCATCCGCCTTAAGGACAAGAGGGTGTCCTTTAGTCTTGGCCGAAATATATTTGAGTCTCTATATTCACCCTTTGAGCTTTAAACTGCAGCTCTGCTACCATATGCCATGTCCACCGGATACATGTGCCTATCGACTTTGTTCGCTGTCCATGCCATAGTAGTCTAGTGAAATTACCAGATACATTCAGTAAGTTTTATTCAGTAAGTTGTACCCCCCTCACTAGGTTTAGCCTGCCGACCAAAGCAGTTCACCGGGATATGGCCACTGCGTGCACAACAGCTTCTTGGAGCCACTAGTGAGAGTTGTGAGTGTCTTGAGGACCAAATGGTCAATGTCCAACAACAAAGTAGAAATGGGCGTCATCACCCAAGAGGTGCTACTTCTAAGAACACTACACCATACATCCCAGTAAGATCAGTGCGGAACATGGCCTTATGCTAAACAAAAGGAAAACGCAAGTCATGATAGACCGAAATTCTACTAATATCAGGGAGATTGATGGTTTTGAGGTGGTTGAAAAGTTCAATTACCTCGGATCCCACATAAGAAACAAGGGAGGCTGTGACGAGGAAATCAAACGCAGACTATCACAACAAATTAAAATTAATAAACACATTGATCTTTCCTATCGCTACTTATGCATCAGAGACCTGGACTCTGAAAACTACAAATAGACGAAAAATAGATGCTTTCGAAATGTGGGACTACAGAAAAATGCTGCGAATTTCATACACAGAACATCGGACCAACGTATCAATTCTAAGGTAGTTGAAAGTTAACACAAGACTTTCAACCAAAATACCAATCATCAACTAGTCATACCTTAGGTACTTCGGGCACAATTCGAGAAGAACAGATGGACTGGAAAAAATCATAATCGAAGGGAAGATTAATGGCAAACGACCAAGAGGAAGATCTCCGACGCGCTGGGTGGACCAAACCAAAGAAGCCGCTCAATATAGAGAATCTTTCGAGAGCTAACGGACGAGAAGAAGCCCTAGAAAAATAATACCTTCTTTATAAGTAAATAATATTAGAAAAAATTCAACCGCATGTTACTGTAAAATGCTTCAATAGACCACAAAATTACATTCGCATCAATATCGCAAATCGCAACTCCTAAAAATTCAAACTCGCAAATCACAGTTTACAAAATCACAATCGCAGCAAAACCGCAAATCGCAACAAAATCGCATCACAGTCGCAAATCGCAGCTATAGTAATACTGGTTACCTAAATTGAAACTCGCAAATAGGAGAAATAGCAATCGCAGTTCCCTATGAAAGCCAATCTCAGGTTGTAATTGCGATTTTAAAATCGCTACGATTGAATCGCAGTTTGCGATATCTTGCACATCTAGTAAATACCCAACGGGTAAGTAAATTAAATTTGAGTATATACCTGGTATGTACCCAGAATACGTAAGGTACCTATATACCCACTATTGTAGAAATATACCCAGTATATACTGGTATATTCCTGGTATTATACCGGGTTCTCCTTATAAAATCAGGATATTCACCTTAATTGCACCGTCCGTCCGTCGCGGCGTCGGTGTTGCTCTGTCTAGTTTTTGGTAGAAGATATTGGTTTCTGCTATATTTGACTAACTGGTGATTTTCTGACTTTTTAGATGTTTCTTAAATTTCGACTTTAACAACAAATTGTTAAAATTTGTTAGAGTACCTTAAATTAAGAAGGTAAGCATACTTGGGTATATAACGGAATAATATTTACCCAAATACAACATTTACCCATTGGGTATATACCGGGTGCAAAACCAACCGGGTATTTACCCAAAATTCAATATACTGGATGTTTGACCATCACTGGTTATCATCGAGAGAGAAGGCCAGACGACGCTGACGTAAAAAATCTGATACATTATACTTAATAATGCGTTTGTTTCAAAGTGATAGACAAAGTGTAAGTTATTAAATATAGGGGTAATAATAATTAAAAGTTTACAACGCTTGTACGTATCGCTAGTAACTATCACATAAAAATATCACATACACACACAATAGACCAATTTGTCCTTAATGCCAATGCTGGGCCAGCTATAAGCATTCGGATTGTCCATACTATAAATATTTAACTCAGTATAATGGCTTAATAGGAGACAGGCTTAATACAGACTTGGCTTGTACCAGACTCGGGTTTCAGAGCCTATCGTTCGACGATAGATAATATTTTCTGCATAACACAACTAAGTAAGACAATGTTAGCTATAGGCAGAGAAGAACAATCGTAGAGAAGCGACAAAACGAATCCCGCCTAAAAATTTGGAGTGGGAGGTAAACCGGCTAACTGTCATCTCAACGTGTTTTCGGAATACAGCCAGCGTTGCCATTGTTAATGATAAAGTCCTGAAATCTTACTATTTTTTTATTTGTGTACATAATTAATCTTTTTGAATTAATTAACCTATATTTTATCCTTACCTTATAATACCCTATGATCGAAAAAAAAAACAGCGTCCAGTTGGCTTGGAAATGACGATCGATGACATTTCCCATATAATTTTACATATAAAATGACAGCGATCTTCATTTCATAGCCATCGTTGACGCCGTTTTTATTAATTCATACAATATTACTTAAAGAAAGAACTAAATATTATTAAAACTTAAAATAGATGCAGGTTGTTAGCGTTTAATAAAAAATATTTAGAAAATTAAAACTCTGTATTAGAAAATTAAATAATATTTTATAGCAAATATAATATATTAGCGACGCTAATTTAAGTTGTGTTATCTTTAAATGTAATATGTTTTTTTTATGTAAACTATGATTCTTTAATATACAGTTACATAGTTTTAATCATATGCTGATGCACTGCAGAAGTAAAGTGTTTTGGGATATTGTAGTAAATTAGTGTTTTATTTTGCTGTTGTAACATCCCGGTTCAACTCTAATTATGTTATTTGCTTTTTGGTTTGTTTTAACTCTTATGATAACAGCTGATAAATATTCGAAATTTTCTTAAAATCGTTTATTTATAATTTTGATTAAAAAAACACCTTCGAATATTAATTTCGAAACAAACAATATGATAAGATACGATTTGAAAATGTCCCTCTAAAAGGAATAGGTTATGGTGCAAGTATACACTCGGCGAGGCGACCCGACACGCCACAAAAAATTAACTATTTGTACATTGTTTTGGTTAGGAGCGTCCTTTTGTGTCACGTCTCGGGTCGCCTCGGCGAGTGTGTACTTCCAGCATTAGAAAATGGTTAGAACGCGGTAAATCCACAAACCGCAGAAACCCGTTAAATCTTAAAAGATAGTTACTATTCAATATGATTCCTAAATATTTATAATATACTTTTTATTGAACACATGTTTTTTCAGTGTATAGCTTTTTTCATTTCTTTTGCCTTCGTTCTCTCAGTGTAATAAACCGGCGATCTATCAAATACGCCAATTTGAAGGTCACAAAACTTGGTCCCCCTCACTTCAATAGTGCCGACGGTTTTTGTCATAGACTTAAAATAAAATATAGACTACACTATTTACATCTCAACGCGGACAAACAACCTTTTTTGTACACATGTTTACTTCTGGGTACAGTCGACCGAGCCTTCCTCTTCCAGCCTATGTTGTCACGTCTTTAATATTATCAATATTTTTTTTCTTGTTATACACATATATTGAGATATTAATACTACAGTTTAATAAAGTAGGTTTTAATATTTCATAGATGTATTAAATAGTCCTTATACTACTAAATTATAAGTCGGATACTGTTTAATAAGGATAAGTTCTTTACAATATGACAACACCGATTAGAGGCGAGGGAGCCTATTCATTCATTTATTACCTTGTAGTACGTGTCGCACGTGTGCGGTAAAGCTTTGTTGCCGCTATCTCCCGGCTGTATTAACGTATTTTCTTAGCTTGTAGTCCTTAAGTGTTTATTTTATTGACTTTTTCTGTTCAAAACTATAAAATATGGTTCGCCAGTGCCAAATTTGCAAGAAATTTGACTTAAATAATCCATTTAAGTCTTGAAACGACTTTTGACCGGTAGGCAACTCTCAATTTACCCATTGGCAGTCAGTGGCGTTGTTGTAGAAAGGCGCTTATTTAGATAATATTTTAGTAAAATGTAAAATCTGAATTTTTTCTTTTACATTACATTATTTACTTACTTACATGGTAACAAAATCATAATTATAACCCTGTTAATAATTAATAATGTTTTTATTAAAAATATATTCCGGTTTATTCTAAAATTATCTTCAGAATCTAAAATAACATACAAGAATTTTAAAACGATATTACATTATGAAACATTATTTTTTAATATACCGGGTCGTCTCAAAAAGTGGCTCAACCCTATAACTTTTTTATTTTTTCAGATAAAAAACAGATTTGTATGTTAGTAGGTATATGACATAAATTAGGATTTATTGACGTATTCAATTGTTTTTGGTCTCTTCCTGTTTCACCGAAATGATTACATCTTTTGATTTTTAAAGGCACCCTCGGTATATTGCTACTTTATTCGATAAAAATGACACTCTGAATAGAATGACATATCATATGCCAACTTTTGACATTGTCGCTTAAAACATATCCTATTTTAAATTTCAATCCAGTTTTTTCAATCCACTAAGTTTTAATCAAGGAGCCTTGGAAAAATAGTTTTGATCGTCTAATAGGTTTCGTGTCTTGTCTAGGCCGGTTAAAAGATGTACAAATCGTATTTTAATCATACATATGTCAATTTTTCAAATGGAACAAGGGTGACTCATTAGCATATTTGGAAAAAGCATTTTTTTATGAATATATTGATACCACACACTTGGTATTTCGAGTCAAATTGTCGTTATGAACCGCGTGTTACAATTACAATTAAACCATATGCGAAAATGTCAAAAGTTGACATATGATATGTCATTCTATTCAGAGTGTCATTTTCTATCGAATAAAGTAGAAATATACCGAGGGTGTCGTTTAAAAATTAAAAGTTATAGTCATTTCCGGTGAAACAGGAAGTGACCAAAAACAATTGAATGCGTCAATCAATCCTAATTTATTTCATACTACATCTTGTTTTTTTTATTTGAAAATATAAAAACATTATGGGGATGAGCCACTTTTGAGACGCACCCGGTATAATAAAGACAGTACCGAGTTAAATAAATGTAGTTTTTATTTTATCCACTTCCTATCACCTTCCTTGCTTTAATGGAACAGATTTATGTTTTCTCTAATTTACATAATAAGACATCACTTAACCAGAAAAAAAATTACAACAATCATATTTTTTTTTCTCCCTGTCGCCGATTCTATTATATCTGTGGAATAGATCCTGTTTTGATTAATATTAGGGGTTGTAATGTTTGACTAAAATTAATAATTTATTATTAATTTCAAAAATTACCTAATTTCGATTATAAAATTTCTTCTATAACGTGTATTTTATTATTTTTATCCTTTTGGACTCCAAATTGTTTTTCTAAAGTTTTATTTAAAAAACCTGTCCTAAATCTTAATAAAATATAAAAAAGTTTAAATACGATATATTTTTAATTTAATTGTAGCTTCATTAAAATAAAAAATTACCCGGCTATGATACGGAGAGTTCAGGTGTACTTGAGAAACGAAAGACAGTGTTGTGTTTCTCGGCAGAGTCGTCAGGGAACGACCGTTACGACAGAGACAACCTATCTATCGCTCGTGTCGTACTCGTTATAACCTAAAACAATAACACAACAATAACAAGACAGTGTCTGACCGCATGTTCCAGCTATTTATGAATGAGATGCTCAGTCTATATTTTATTTTAAGTCTATGGTTTTTGTCGTTTCTCTACGATTGTTCTTCTCTGCTATACGTGGAGAACATATGATTTTTGTAGACCGAACCAAGATTGAAGGCTATATATCGATCGTACATTAATTTATGACGTCACGTGCAAGCCGTCTTAACTGGCCTTCTCTTTTCGATGGTAACGCTCAGTTTCCTCTAAAAGTTTTATATCTAAAATAACATTTACTTTTTTTAGAGCAAATAAATGTGGTATTTTACAGCACTGTTTTTAGAGCAACGGCATAAACGTTATTTTTACGTTTGTCCTATTAACTGTAATAACAAATAACATTTGAGTATTCACGACCTTGTTAGTAATAAACTAACAATACGTCCAGAACAGATGGCTCAAAGTACACACAATAAAGAAATACGAAAATAAAGGTCTTAAGGGCCCACACAATAAACTTCTAAGAACATCTGTTCTTTAATATACAGGGCCCTGTAACAGTGTGTCTGTTATCTATAAGCCCTAAAATAAAGAGCTTAGGAATTTTGTTTAAATGCAGACCTAAATTGTGTACTCGGGCACAATTACGTACTCGACCTAAATTGTGTACTTTACAAAAATATTTTATTTGTACAGGGTGCTTCAAAAAAGTGGGTGAATTTGATTTTAAATAGAACACTGTATACTTGATCAATTCGAAATTCGATCGTCATTTCCAAGCCAAGTTGATGGCATTTTTTGCCGATTATACTGTACTAGTTGAAGCCTGGCGCATCCGCCACGACATCAGGAAAAAAATCTTTTTATTTTTTGTTTAATTAAATGAAAAACAAAAAATCCGGCGACGACAGTTTTTAGAAGAGCCAATTAGCGATCTTTTAGTAAAAAAGCAGCTTTCTAGAGCAATTCGTTACTTCAGTAGAGACGACACAGATGAACATTAGCATTTTATATATGTGGATATTTTGCAGCACTTAAGTAATTTGTTCAGCATATTCAAAATTTAATGTCAAAATTGTTAATAAGTAAACTAATCTGTGTTTTTTTAAGTGGATCACCCTGTATATTAATTCCCTTTTAGATACACAAGTAAAATATGAACATTTTTCGTATTTAAGTGTTTATTTTTAGAGGTTTTGCAGATATTCGAGGTATCAACAGTTTTTTTCAATAACAGCTTAAAACTATTCTTAAATAATTATCTTATATCTATTCTATCCTAACCTAACCTAACCAACAAGCAAAAATTTATATAAAGAATGCATTTCTTTCAAAATCTCAATAATAAAAAAATTTTTCCTCTTATAAAGACAATCCGGGGACAGACTGTAGATTATGACATGGTATTTTTGAAACAGAAATGTTATGTTTTTATTTTAAATCTACTGAGGGAAAAAAAGGAATTTCATTTAAATCTCATTATCTATTAGAAGTGTAATTTAGTTAGGGTAGAAATATACTTGAATCACTCGAAAAAAACACTTGAAAATTTCAAATAGTCCACCTATTATTAGACCTTGATCATTGAACTTGATTGAACTGGTCCAACCTGTTTACATATGTATAAAGTAAATACTATTTAATACTGTACTATTCTAGTTTTAATTATCCTCGATGTTAAAATGTCTTTATGAAAGAATTTACATAGTAATTATAAATAACGTGAAACAAATTTACCTAGATACTGTTAATAATTAGTTAGATAAAAATCTAAAAATAGAAGAAATAACTAACTACCTATAAATAGAAAGTCAGTTAGGGAAAAACCATTCTGAAAAGGGTGTAATAGGAAACAACATCGATAAAGGGTAGGTTTATGAATGATTTAAGCAAACGACCTTTCCAATTCATAGTACTAAATAAACATGAGTTAATTAAACTCCAAGGCTACTATAACCAACTATCAGATCTAACACTCTGATATCTAGATAAATTAAAGTTCACTGTACAAACGTTGCGTTAGATATACAGTTTTATTTTATTTGATGACACTGAAGAATTAAACATGTGGTTTTGTTATATTTTCAGTATTATAGGTATTTTATTTTTACTTATAACTAATGTATTGTTTGTACAAGTAAATGCTGCCAAAAAGGCAGCACACACACTAACATGGTGAGATCACAACCTGCATAAAAACACAAAAAAAAACTAACAAAATAATGTATTTCTTACCTTAAATTAGCCATGAGTAATAAAAACTTCGTTGTACTCCGTCGTTTTATTTATCGTTTCCGAAGATATTGGATTCTTTAGAAAATTGTTCCACGAAGAATTATCCATAAAAACATTGATTCTTCGGGCATGCAAGAAGCACCAGCAAAGTAGAAATTTACGGATTTAAACTTGAAATTCTTGATTGTTTTTATAGTTTACATCACAAAATAATAGATGTAAAATGCGAAGTATATATTCTCAAAGATAAGATTTTGATATTTTTTGCTAAAATTAAAAATGAACATATACTTAACAAAATCAATTACAAAAGAAACCGGCAAGCAAGCAACCGGCAAGAACACGGCAAGAAGAGCAAATCCAGGTCCACAGAGCAAATCACTAAATCAGCTGAGTGAATAAAACAAAAATGGCGACCACGCTGCCAACATATATTTTTTATCCGTCCGTAGGTAGGAATGAGGTAGGATAGAAAGTATTTGACGATCATATATACTAAAACGTAAACAGGTTGAACATAAAGAATATAATAATTACCACGATTTGTAAATTCCCTATGTAAAATTCATATGATTCATGCAATATCGTTAATTAAATTAAAAAATAATTCGTTATTCTTTCTTGACTAGTCTTACGGCCTAAGCTGCCAGAACAATACGGCCTTAATTAGTTATTAATCTCAATTAAATTGATTAATGCCCGAATGTGGTGAAGAAGAATCTCTAAATAACCTCGTGCGATCTGTCAATCTGTCAAAAAGATTTAAAATTTAAATGTTTTGTTTTCTGTTGATATTGGAAATTGAAAATATCTCCAAAATATATCATAGATCATAGATTGATCTGATTTTCACTGGTAGTGAAAGAATTAACGTAAGTTCCGTAAATAATTGAGTTATATGATTAGGTTTTATATAATACAGGGTGTTAGATTTTCAAATAATGGTTTGGTAAATACCCTTTTTATTCAAAGAGTATACCCAGCGGTTCCCAGATTTTTCAGGTGAGAGACTCACTTTCAAATAATGTTAATGTAAAATAATCAATTTTAACTTCTGTATGATAAAAAAGCAACCAGTGGCAAAGCAACCAATTTAATTTTTTGGGAGAGGCAATAACTGGTGAAGAAAAATTGATGGTCAATAATGTTTGATATAAATTTAACTAAATACCTAGTACCCACTCAAAAACAGTTGCTTTTTAAAATGTTTATCGATGACAGTGGCGCATCTAGAGATTGTATCTGGGAGGGATAGTGGTGATATTCAAGTGAAGTAATATAGGTTTATATTAAATTTGCGATGATATGTATTGTGCCTGTGGAAAAAATATATTTGGATTAGTCTAAATTTTCTATTTTGATTGTTATTAATAATTTCTTTTGTTATAATTTTATTTTATATTTATATCACAGTTTATTTTATAAATAAATGTCTTTCTGGTGGGGGGATTACCGCCATTATCCCCCCGTATATGCACCCTTGCATACATACCAAATCGCATTTTTTCAAATAAAAAAAATGCGATTTGGTATGTTAGTATATGACATAAATTAGGACTGATTAACATATTCAATTGTTTTCGGTCACTTCCGGTTTCACCGGTAATGACTACAACTTTTGATTTTTAAATGGCACCCTGGGTATTTTTTTACTTCATTCGATAGAAAATGACACTCTGAATAGAATGACATATCATATGTCAACTTTTGACATTTTCGCATATGGTTTATTTGAAATTGTAACCTGCGGTTCATAACGACAATTTGACTCGAAATACCAAGTGTGTGGAATCAAATTATTTGTATAAAAATGCTTTTTCCAAATATGCTAATGAGCCACCCTCGTTCCATTTGAAAAAATTGAGATATGATTAAAAATACGATTTGGGCATCTTTTAACTGGCCAGGACAAGACACTCAAAACATTAGAAGATCAAATCTATTTTTCCAAGGCTTCTTGATTAAAAATTAGTGTTTATAAGACAGCCATGGCACTCTAGATTGAAATTTAAAATTGAATTTGTTTTTGAGCGAATATGTCAAAAATTGACATATGATATGTCATTCGATTCAGAGTGTCATTTTCTATCTAATAAAGTAAAAAAATACCGAGGGTGCCATTTACAAATCAAAAGTTATAGTCATTTCCGGTGAAACAGGAAGTAACCAAAAGCAATTGAATACGTCAATCAATCCTAATTTATGTCATATACTAACACACCAAATTTTGTTTTTTTATCTGAAAAAATAAGAAAGTTATAGGGGTGAGCCACTTTTCAGACGCACCCGGTATTGTTTATTAGTAAGTTTAAATATGCTATTTTATTATTTAGTATAATGTTCAATGTATTATATTTTATGTTATGTTTTAATAGATATTTGTATTTTAATTCAATATTCTGCTTTTTTCTGAAATTTAGTTAAGCCCTGGTTTATGTTGTTTGATGTGAATTTTAAGTTACCTAACTATATTTTTTTCTTTGCTTGTGGTCATGTTAATTTTCTCTAAACTGATTACTTAGTAATTTGAAATTATTTCCATTAAATATCTCAATTTTTTATTGATTTTATTTTAGAAAATCATCCCTTGCTTTTGATTGATGAACTGCACCATCATTGAACAAAAATTAGTACTGAAAAAAATCGGGAAATCCCGGTTCCTACACAGTACCGAAATTCCCGGTTCCGAAAAACAGCTCCGGTTCCGGAACCGCTAATCTCAGATGAATTGGGAATTTACGGTACTTTCGGTACCCTAGTATAGATATGACCAAGACGGAAAACCGTCTAGAGAACTTCTGGCAATTCTCTAGTCAGAGTCTTCCGTTTTAACTGACAGGCAAAACGTAAGGTAAAATGTCATTTGTAGACGGAGCTTAAGAAATATTCAAATTGTCACACCGCAACCATGCTTAACAAAGACCGACAATTATTGTATTAATAAAAATACTATTATATTTTGTCAGTCTTTGAAAACGAGAATAGGTAACGAACAAAAAGATATAAGACGGCAAATTATATTATTATTACAAAAAACGTTTTAGTACGTACTTGTTTGTTGCACGCCCTGGCGCATATCAGCCTCGTCTTGCCGACGGCCGTATCGCCCACCACCACGCACTTGACCAACTCCTGATGGGGCTGTTCATTATCCATCCCCCCGGGCCTCGGCGGCGTCGTTCACGTCCATTACAGCAGCGGCGGCGTCCTTCGTGGGGCTTCGGGGGGACCGCGGCCTTTAGCGGCGGTTCTCATAACTGGCGCGGCTGGACTCGCCCGCGGCCCAAAGATACGGACTGAGCTGGGGGGACCAAGACTGGACGCGCTACGGGCTTAATTGTTTAATTGCCACTTGACGCAGGCCGACGTAGTTGGTCGCGACTGTTTACGACAGGTGCTGCCTCGGTCGCGATGCCGAACGTACTAAAGTTTCGGGGGGAATGTACGGGACCGGGAGAAGAATGTACTGGGAAAGGGGAGAGCGTCGCGTCGCGGGAGCACAGATCGCAGGATGAGAGACCGATAAAATGAACGATATAATAATTCCTGTCTGGATTCGTCAAATTAAAGGGGTACATCGACCTGATTGGGGTTTTATGCAGATCATATCTAGGGATAAATAAAGCCTATACGTCTATTTAGGGTTTATTTCTTGAAAATAACTTTAGGTTTTTCGCCCACTCTAGAAGAAGAAAAAAGAATCTAAGTAGAAGTTAAAATCTAGAAAATAAAATAGCTATTTTTTGTAAACACCGCTGCGTTAAATCCCAGTTGTCCTGTCCCATGAATGTCTCCCCTTTGTCAGGATTCTATCGAGTGGTATTTACAAATAATATCCAGGGTGTACTGTTTATGGTAGATCTCGATAAAAGAAACATATTTTCTCTTTATCCTTTTTCAAGTAAGCCCAAAATAACGGTGATATTTTACTTTGAAAATTAAAAAAAATGATTTCTCGCTTACATTTTGAGAACCGCTGGATCTTTTCTGGATTTTCTTTGTTGTAAATCTAGTCTACTACCTATTATGTTGCCATATTATGAAAATATTATCCTAATATTATGTTTCATAATTAAAAGTTAAAAAAAAAATTTCAAAAAATTCCATATTTTCATAAACAATTTTCCAAAATTTCCATACCGTTTTAGAGAAAATTAAAAAAAAAACTGAAAATATAGTTGAATTTTTTCCAAGTCCTAAAAAGCAAAAGCCATTTTGTAATATCATTTAGATTTCATCGAAATTATCCAGGGTGTTTTAAACTTTTAAAAAACATGTGCCATCTCTCGTGGGGAGATTCCTCACGTAAAAAGAAAATTTATTTTTCATATCAACATAATATGTTCGATTCTGCTTTGTTTCATAGCTACAGGGTGTTAAAGTCTTAATAATCTTTCGATTTATTATAATTTTCTTCCAAGTACTTTTAGTGAATCGAATGAAATTTTGAGGGTAAAAGTTACTATAAGTGTTACATATTTTAATGCTAAAAAAGTGTCGATAAATTCATCAGGGACGTGCATATGGGTTATCACTGGAATATTTTTCAAAAATATGTGCGCCATTGACTCTTTTTCTTTTGATATCAAAATTGTGTAGGCCATTTAATGCCATTGAAAAGTTATCTCTTGATATTTTGTCAAATACGGCCTCCTTGATGAGATAAACGCAATTTTATTAATCACTATTAATAAAATTAAAATAAAAATAAAATTAATAAATTATATATTTTACCTAATTTATTACTAAATATTATTACTATTAGTCTAACAGCAATTTCAAATAAATAAAATAATGGTATTTAGGATAATTACAAAAAAACTAATTTTAATAAGTTTTCGAATGTTAAAAAAAAAGTCCTAAAAATCAAAAGACGTTTTGTAATATCATTTAGATTTCATCGAAATTATCCAGGGTGTTTTAAAAAACATGTGCCATCTCTCATGGGGAGATTCCTCACGTAAAAAGAAAATGTATTTTTCATATCAACATAATATGTTCGATTCTGCTTTGTTTCATAGCTACAGGGTGTTAAAGTCTTAATAATCTTTCGATTTATTATAATTTTCTTCCAAGTACTTTTAGTGAATCGAATGAAATTTTGAGGGTAAAAGTTACATAAGTGCTACATATTTTAATGCTAAAAAAGTGTTAAAATAAAAATAAAATTAATAAATTATATATTTTACCTAATTTATTACTAAATATTACTATTGTTATTATTACTATTAGTCTAACAGCAATTTCAAATAAATAAAATATTGGTATTTAGGATAATTACAAAAAAACTAATTTTAATAAGTTTTAACATTCTGTAACTTTAAAACTACATTTCCATATCCATGTTTATAGGAACTTTTTTTC